GGTGACACAAAGCTATCTACCAATACTGAGCTGCATATGAGTCATGATCCGCATAGAACTCTCTCTTCTATCTGGTTTGATCGTGGACAATTCAAGTAAGTTTGGATGGATAATGAGATTCTTGGCTTGATATGGACCCAAATGACAATCCGAGTTCTAGAAGAAACATAGTCGTACATTTTTGCAGCTTTTATTCGATAATAATTTTAGAGGATTTGATGCTCTCTGGTTTAGTTTGTTATCCTTTCTCGAGCAAACCTCACATTGAATTGCCATTTTCTCCTCCACTTGGTACACCAATATCCCTCATTGGTCAAAAAAAAATTTAACCCCAAAATGTACTATGTTTTGGGTATGATAATGAGATTCTCTTGAGTCGAATTGTTTGTTGCTATGATTCGAATCGTTTGATGAACTTAACAATAATATAGAACTAAACTGATTAAATTGAACAACTGTCCAACATATTCGGGACAAATGTCCCCTTCCCAAGAGTGAGACTCTATTGGACGGAATTGGAGTCGGTTCCAGTCACAGCTACCAAATGGGATGACTAACTAGGATGCCCTTCATCTTGGTAATGGTCATGCTCCATGTATACCCATGCCTATAAACCTTCCACATAACTAGAGGATAGAAGAAACACTAGTGAACTTAGTTAGAGGGACAAGAATAAAGGCTCCTTGAATGCTAAAAACCAATAGGCTTTTACTGGTTATCACTCTTTTAATTATGCTTTGTAGTACTTGGATTATAACAAAAAATCTAAATTCCTTGTCATATATTTCATATGTAGATCTCAATCTGATATTTATGAAGAATATAACACACCCTTTCACTGAATGAATTGTAGTCATGAAATTGATCATGAAATAGACTGGTGTGGTTGACAAATGCTTAAGAAACTTGAGGCAAGGCTAACAACAACAACCCATTATTTTAAAAGAATCCAATCTTTGAGTACATAATGCTTTATTCTTTTCCCTCATTTGCACTTAACCATGTAAGTTGTATATAAAAGTATGCAAGGAACCTCATGAGCTTCCTAAGAAAAGCAATTGAGCATTGCCTTATCAACTAGGAAAAGCAATGATTGAGAGACCATGCATTTTTCTAAATAGTCTAAAGACAGCATATATTCCCGGCAATACATGTTTATTCTCGCAGGTTTTGCCAAAGTTTAAGCAACCAAAGCCAGCAAGCAATGCTGGTTTTATGGGTCACTTGGCATGATTGACCTCTTGTTCTAAATCTCATTTCTGTCTTTTTCCTTTTTGGCTTTGCCTTCGTTCCACCCTACTGATATTCTTTACACACCCACACCACACAGGGAGTGAGAGACAATGCAGCTTCTATCGTGTCTGTCTGTGTAAGCAGTAAACATATAGATCAATCTAGAAAACCTTTGAAGCATGACAAAAATGTCGGATGCACAACTGAAAATATTACAGGAGAGTGAATTGGAGGAGTTTTTGTACAAAGGTCTTTTAAGCTTGGTCCATTGTACATATCATTAATGGTGTCAGCAATGATAAATTATTTATTTAAGCATGTTTACACCGCCTTAAGTCTTCACCTACACCCATCAAGGGAACTCAGAGTGTGTGAACCACATCAGGTCTAAATAACGATAAACCCTAGCCCACGTCAACACCAACAGCATAACCTTCAGCTTGGCATCTGAGCTAATCAGCAGAACTTCCACGCAAATGTATTGAACTTGGTTACAAGAAACTGAATACTGAGTCTGCTCTTTCCGAAAGTTTCCTTGCATCCTGTTGCAAAGCTTTCTTTCTAAGCATTCGGATATATGAAGCCCATGCGGTGATGGCTCTTCCAGAGTCTGGACTTTCGATTTACAGCATCTTGCCACCATCATATACAGAGTCATCAGGTTGACAGGAGAAGTACCTAGAACATATTATCTTAAGCAGCAATGCATTGCATTTGCAGCACCATCAATGTGGGGAATCTCTTGGGTGCCAAATAGCATCAAGATACCACATCCCCAGCAAATAGAAAGTCACAGATCTTCTGATCAATGGGGACAGCATTCTGAGACTGACCATCACTCTGCAGACTCTTCTTTTCCTTCCTATACATTTCAGCTTCACGAACTCTACCAAGTTTTTGGAGACCGGCTAAGAGAACATTGTATGTTCCCAAGAAAGGAAGAAACCCTTCCCCTCGCATCGTATCAAAAATTTTAAGTCCTCTATCAGCACTACCAGCAGAGAAGTAAACACCCATCAAGGCAGTGTAAGTTGTAGTGCACTTGTGATCATCAGGCAATAAATTAAAGACTTTTGCAGCACAATTGGTCCTTCTAGCACGCCCAAGCCTATATATTAGAAGTGCACTTAGGTATGTTCCAGGAGAATACCCAGCCCTAATCATCTCCACAACAATCTCTACCACCTTTGGAAATGAATTTGATCTGATCAAAGCTCCTATTAAAGAAAGATAGGCATTTCTCTCAACGATGATACCCATTTTCACACTATATTCAAAAGCCAGCAAAGCACCATCTGGTCTGCAAAGTCCACAATTTACCACAATGATGGTTGAGATGATTGCAGAATTCAATTTTATATTCTTATCTTCATTTCCAGCGAGTAAGTGGTCTATGGCAACAAGATTTTCCTTTTTTAAGAGAATCAGTACAAGCCATTCATCCATTGTTGAAGGAGCATCAGCAGCAGTTGCTCTAAGCTCACCTGTCTCCTGATTCCCAGATTCAATGGAAAAGTGAGGATGAACTTGCCTGAGGAGGGAATCACTCACCCCAGCAATTTTTAAAGTTCTGAGTGCCTCTAGAAATACAGGGTAACGAAGGGCAAGGCGATGTTCTTTCATAAACCAAAGGACTTGGTTCACTGTCCATGTCTCTCCCACTTTGCACAAATTCTCAATTAAAATATTGCAAGCTGCTTTATCAGGTTGTACTCCAGCATCTTGCATTTTGCCAAAAATCTCAAGTGCCTCTTTGCATTTACCTGAAAACCCAACACAAATAGAGTAATTTGATTATCTTAAGTTTTGGAGAGGCAGGAGAGGAACATAGTAAAAAAAAAAAAAAAAGGAACCAGTTTGCCCAAGATCCCACCAAAAGTGCATTATGCATAGAAATTATACAAGACGAGTCCATTTCGGAACCATTAATATTAATACGCAAGTTAATGAAACATGATATCTTTCCTTAATACGATTAAGCAAAGAAATATGTTTGCACGTTACTTACACATCATCTCAACACTGGAAGGGAAAAGGAAAGCAATCACAAAGATTACGGAAAGTCAAATCAAAACAACTTCAAATTATAGCAAAAATCATTGAGAGGACACAACCAAAAACAAAAAGTCTTATGTTCTGTTGATAAAGAACAGCCAGTGGGAAGAGAAATTAGTGCAACCCAATGAACAAAAGTGGTAACTTGCAGTGTATATTTGCTTCACCTAACATATAAAACATGCCCAACATCAAACAATTTAACAATGGCCCATTCAGACATTACAACAAACAAATGGATGGCACTAGGTATGCAAAGTTGAGTTGGGCTCACCCGAACCAATAAGGTATTCCATTAAGACAGTGTAGGTATGACAAGTTGGAGAGCACCCAGATTGAAGCATTTCTTTGTAAACATCAGTAGCCTCCTTCACTCTGTTATCACTAAACAGGACCTTCATATAAGCAGTGTAAGAAACAACAGTAGGAACACAGCCCTGAGCTCTCATCTCCTCCCAAACCTTCACAGCCCCATCAACATCCCCAGCACTAGAAAGCCAATGCATCAGCGAAGTGTAAGTAACAGCATCAATCCTTATGTCCTTCTCTTGCATTTGCTTGAAAACATGGGTCATGGAAGACACCCTCCCCGCCTCTCCAAAAATGTCCAGCATTGTTGTGTAGGTGAAGTGGTCGTGCTTAAACCCTCGAACCCCGGAAACCCAATTGAAAAAAAGCCATGCTTTTTCCATTGGAGGATGGGTTTTGAGCACCCGGCTCACAGTGTAAGAGTCCCATCTTATGGGCAGCCTCTGCAATTGGTCCTGAGCAGAATCCCATGTTGAATATTTGAGAATTTTGTATATGTTTCCAATGGTTTCCCTCATGTAAATCGTTGGGTCTGCATCTTCTTGCTTTTTACTGGATTTGAAGTGCTTCTTGATGCTCTTTCTGGTAATTGGCTTACTGGGTTCGTTTTGTTTGATTCGGTCGAGTGAATGGACGGATTTGATGGAACTCTTTGGACAATGATGATCATGGATGGCCGTGAAAGCTGCAAGGCGTTTGAGAAATCCATGGAGGTTATAGAAACCGCGCATAGAAGCTATGCGTTTGGTCCTCGCGCTTTTTTGTATCGCTGATAGTCAGATGAGAAGTGATTTCTATTGTGGCAAATTTGAGAAAATGGGTCAAACGATATACGAGTCATTTTCTCGACAAAAAAAAAACAATTCTTTTTATTTTTTTTGGGCAAGTTTTTCAGTAAAAACAATGTTACAATTTTTTGGGTAACTAATATCTCATGATCTTTCATCCCGTACAAGACTTTATAATAATAAAGTTCGGATATATGCAATCACTCTCAAACCACAAACCACCACAACGCATAACAAATAAACTTAACAATGTAGAGAATTCTAAACTCAAAACATTCGTAAGTTTACAACTCGTCTCATAAGTAAAGCTGATCCGGTAAACTTAGTAAATCTTGATCATGAGAGATCAGTATCATTTACCGTTTTGATGAGAATCAAGTACCATCTTGACCTGGTACAATCATACAGCATGATGACATTGTGACTTTTGGCCTTCGACCAGGATCAAGACTCCAGTTTTAGGGCTTAAAAAATGTAACGTAGTAGAAGAAGAGTTCTTAATTTCAATATTGCTGCCATAGACTCGTAAGCATGCATCTAGTGCATGCCTACCAATCCCTCATTTTCTGCAACACTCCCGACCCAACAAATCATATCATCTCAAGATGTTTCAAAGATAGTAATTAAAGAAATACATTCACGTTTTCATGTTTTTACATCATTCACCATATAACAGTTGAGTATCCCCAAAAATTTCATACAACAAACCAGATAAAAAACAACTGAAGCAAAAATCATGAAACAATTTTCTTCCTATCAAGAATGCATGCCTTTCTCGGCCTCTTGACCAAGCCCCTTCATTTTCCACACTTCATACTTTGTATGTCTTCAGCCGTTGGATCCATTAGGCCGTCCGATACATATCAGACTGAAGATGAACAATCTCTATATCATATAGAGAAGCAAGTAAAAGAAATATATCAAAATATGCAGACACCGATGTGGACAAATATTCTTAAACACAAAGTGATTCACCATTGGAATAGGACACCTTCCTAACTAATTTCCATCCACAGGAATGCGCTTTCTTTTGCAGAAATATACAACACTTTTCTTAGACTCACCCTCTAATGTATGACCAACTATCTACTGGAGTGCGGCAGTTAACTTCATTATCATCCAATCATGTTTCTGAGTTCTCTATAACAGCATTAAGCAGCAAAGAAAGCAAAAAATTCTTGAACATTTTGCAATAAGAAACCAGATGAAACAGTCAAAGTCAAAACAAGTAAGTAATCCTTTTGATTGAAGCATACTCTGAAAATGTAAACACATTTAGTATAATCCTGCTTAACAATGAACTCTTTCGAGCAGTAGAAACAATTAACTCTACCCTTTTTTTTCTTCTAACAAAGGCCAAATCAAAGACATTGACCCAAGGTGAAGAGTTACTTTAGCTGGGTGCTTATGTTTCACTAATAGGCAACCAGCCAGAGAACACTGATCAGAAAAACATACCCAAAGGCTACTCATTTGTTGGGATGCCTAATTATTCTCTGCAAAATTACTGTCCTCGCCCTCCTTATATTCCGGCTACACTTATCAGCATGTTGGCTTAAATTATCAATGGTTTCCACAAACATTTCCAGCTTTTTCTTGATCTCATCTATCACTAGCTTCACAGTGTCCTCTTCTCTAAGAGCAAAACCAGCAGTCTGCAACAGTGACTCAATCTGAATTTCCCATTTGTCAACAAGCACCCGGATGTTGTCCAGGTCCGTCATTGTAACATAAGTCCCAATCTGCATTGAGCTGATTATCTCCCTCTGCCCTTTCAGTGTCCTCTCATAACGATTCCAGAGCAAATTAAACCACTTTCCAATTGAACCTATTGGAACAGCCAATGCTCCTGCCAAGGCTGTTACAAGTGGTGGTGCAGCAATAGCAGCTGCCACCACAGAAAAAACCAATACAGAGACGAAACTGGCAACAAAAATAACATTTGACACTCTCCTCCAAGCTTTGACAGATTTCAACTTCTTATCAAGTTTTCTCTTACGAAGTTGCAGTTTCTCAAACATCGATGCCTGTTGCTTATAAACTGACTGAAACAGTATAAAGAATTCATCCGTGAAAGGGTCCCCAGCTGCCTTAAATGCCCTCAGTTCTTGTAAGGTCCTCTCACACCTTTTCCCTTCAGCTCCAGCTTCTACTTCTTCCTGAAACTGTCTAACTGCAGCTTGAATTATCAGCTGGTTATTCAGAGCGCGCTTGAGACATTGCTCAAGGGCAGTACAGAAGTCCAATGTTTGAAGACTGTTTTCAAAGTATTCCTCCACAAGAGAGAACATTTCTTTACTGTTCCATATATCCTTCTTGCATTCTAGAATGACTTTGACCACTTCCTGGTTCATGTCAAGCAAGCAATCAGTAACCTCTTTGAGTGAGTCAAGAGATAGGGACCGAACTTCGAGTCCAGTGGAAAGTGAGGTGATGACACGGCTAGTGCGCTGTCGGAGAGTGGCATCAAATGATAATAAGGCCGGGTCATGTTTACAGGCTGCCTCGTACGAGCTCAAATCGGCTGTGTCTTGGGAATTGGTATTGGTTTCAAGGGATTGTGGTGGTGGTGGTGGTGGTGGTGATGATGATTGTGTTTGGCCATCAACACCCTTGTTTTTACTGGATTTTGCTCCCATCATTTGGGTCCAGATATTTCCGGAAAAACAAACTACGGCTAACTAACAAAAAAAGATAATTCCCTTTTCCTCTTTCTTAATCTTGAATGAATTTGGAAGAAGCTCAAAAGATCTTAAATCTAGCAAAGCCTTGAAAATGCAGCTAATCAAGTCCTCTCAATGCAAAGAAATACTGGGAAAGTTACGAAATCCAGCCAAATCCAGTCAATGAGTAGGTTGAAGAACCAAAAATGACCCAAAGACTTGGACTTGGGTTAGATCCTAAGCACCCAAGAGCTATATTTCACTCGGTAAAGTAAAGCCCACATGAAATTTCTGTAATCAAAATGTGAAACTTCATGATTTTGCTAACTGTAGCACTTAACTTAATAAGATCAGATTACCTGCAATTCAGCTTGAAGTCAAAGATAAGATGGAACTTTACTCTCACTACAATCGTCCACAAAGAGCAAGATTTCCAGAATCCAAGCAAAACCCAACACAACCAGCCAAAGGCCAGGTCTTGACACAACCCAGAAGTCGATGATCCTGAGCAGTACAAAAGATATGATAAAGACGAACACTTACACAACTACCAATAAACTAAAGAAATGGAGATGAGATAAGAGATTTGGTTTGGAAATGAAGGGTTAAGGTGATTTAATGAGATAAATTACAGAGATGGGATGGAAAGGGAGAGGAAAGTGAGAGGAAGTGGGAAAGCGGTGAGCAGACCATGTCGTCAATAACGAAGAATACTAGCTTCCAACCTACCCAGTACAAGATTCGACTCCGCTTATAACTAATGTTGTCTTTAAGTAACAAAACATACGCTAATACCTGAAAATAAATAAAAGTAAAAGAGAGAAGAGCTTAAAAGCAAAAGGCCGAAAAGCGAAACGACTATTTGTTTGTGTAGACTTTTTTTTCTTTTTTTTCCTGGCTTGTCAATCAAGTAGCTGCTCACATGCGATGCAATGCATTATGCAATGGTAATGGTTACTGGCTTTAATTAAAAATTCCCATATTGAAAGGTTGAGAGGGTCAAATTATTTTCTAAAGTCTTAGTCTAACCAATGCCATTTCACCTAACACCTGCATCTCACTAATGAAATAGTATGTATAGAGAAAAGTTTTTATTTTTTATTTTTTTGAGTTCTAGAAAATAAAGAAAACTACCTGAAATTTGTTGGATATTTGTTGAAACAAAGTTTGTGAGTTATGGCTTAATGGGAAGTGTATATGTGGGAATGGCAATGAGAGAGTGGCAGAAATTAACTTTGTTGGAGGTAAGCCTTTGGTGGTTTGTGTGATGGAATTTGTAGAAATTAGCATAGAAAAGAAGCAAGACGTGTCTTGGGATAAAATAAAAGTGAGAGATATATCAAATTAAATACATGTAAGGGGACAAAGGCATGTCGACTCTTGATGGCTTTGACCATGACTTCTATGGTCTGCAAGTTGATAAGAACTTCCTGGAGAGACAAAAGTGCATGTCTTAATCTGAGGTATCATCCAGCATTATAGGCTGTGGAAATAGTTCCTTCCTCCCTCCCTCCCCATCAATTATTTGTAGAAAGTAATGGAGTGTTATGTTATGTGTGGTATGGTGGCATATGTCATGTCATGTTAGGTGTGTTATGTGTGCCTCATTATATACATCGAACTGGATTGTCCTGTTAAAATTATTGAATAATTTCATTTAACCATAAATTCTTAAGCAAAAAATTAAACCATGTATCTGTTATAAAAAAATATAGTTTTCCTTCTTCGTAAAGCTAAATACAAAAATATTTATATCATAAATCTATATCTATATATATAAAGCAAAAGGCAGAGAATGGTGAAACATTCAAAATACCAGAAAATGTCCTTGGTTAATGCAAACATTAAGAATTGAAATTATTAATTAAATGAGGATAATATGGTAAATTCACACTTTTTCTTATTTAAAAAAATTAAAATTAAAAGAAAAATCGGATAATGGATCCTATTTTTATGGAACACAACTACCCATTATATTTTTTAATTCTAAAATAAAATTTTAATTTGTTTTAAAAAAGCCTCTCGCAGGCGCGAAAGCGCGTGCGGAGAGGCTAGTATATATAAAGCAAAAGGCAGAGAATGGTGAAACATTCAAAATACCAGAAAATGCCCTTGGTTAATGCAAACATTAAAAATTAAAATTATTAATTAAATTAGGATAATATGGTAAATTCACACTTTTTCATATTTAAAAAAAAATATAAAAAAAAAAGAAAAATCAGATAATGGCCTATTTTTATGGAACACAACTACAATTATCTTTTTTAATTCAAAAATAAATTTTAATGTATAAAATAAAAAAAAATAAAAAAAGCCTCTCGTAAGTGCGGAAGCGCGTGCGGAGAGGCTAGTAATATATAAACAAATTGGAAAGCTTTTAAGGTACAATGAAATTAAAGAAAACAAATTAATAGGTAAGTAAAAGTAAAATAAATAATAAATAATAAGGTGAGTTTGGTACGGTGAAGCACGTCGAAGACGTTGTTCTAAAGCCTTTGTAGCCTCCCTACGTGCAGGTACTAACGGTCTACAAGACTCCAAGATACGACCATTTGTACACAAACTCAAGATCTGCTATGAGCACGTTCATAGGTATCCAAGTCACAGAACCATTGCCAAAATAATAATATAAAGTAAAGAATATATATAAAAGTAGAAAAGGAAAGAAATAGTTTGTGGTGGTGATTGTGGTATGTAATATTATGATGATGTATTGTGGTTGGCACAAATGTGGAGGAGGAGTGGCCTTTTATAGATATCCAAGAACATGTAACCTTTACCAACCAAAAAATTAAGGCATTCAATATAAAAATAAAACCTAAATATTAAATATTTATAACCCCCACAATAAATAAAATAAAACAACCAAAATAATAAATAAATAAAAACGGTTAAATTTTTAAAATCTTTTAAAATTCCAACAGTATCCTATAAAAATATGGCTGAATTATTATAATTGAATTGGACAATAATCCAATCACACACACCATCTGAAATATGGCTAAATTTTAGGTAGAAGATGAATTAGAAACTTATCCCTCTGAATTCAACCATTTTGTGAGGATTTGAGGGGATAGTTTTCTTCATGACTAATCCAATTTTTTTTAAGGACATTTCCTATTGAGAGAGGCAATAATATACTAAACTCACACATACCACACAGATGCTAGGACTCAAACCTAGGACTTTTCATGGAAAGAGCAATTGTTTCAAATCACTACACTAGTGGGTCCTTTGCTTGACTAATCCATTTTAATCCTTCAACTTGATTAAATTTGAAAGTTGACATTCAATTCTTATTTCAACATACCGTGGATAGTGAGTTATGGGCACCAAATGTGATTCATTGCATGGCTTAGACTTAAAGTAAGTTGGCCAAAAAAAAAAAAAGAATAAAAAAAGAAAAGAAAGAAAGGATGGATGTTCTTATAGAATGTTGCTTCTCCAAAACAATGAATGATACCAATTACATACCTTACCAAATTCAGATTCTTCCTATCTAATCCTCTAATTCTTTCCATGTATTCCATTCTTATTTAGAATCCATGTCCTCAAACATTCAGTGTACATTTGACCCAAAAAGAAAACATTCAGTGTACTCAATCAAGGTGATGAACCTGCTTAAGCACCTTGGGCAAGTCCTAGTTGGACAAATAAAAAGACCCATAGAAAATAAATGGAAGTTTTATGGTTTATGGAGACACCATCAGCATGGACTGGCCCAAGAATCATAACAATGGAGCCCCAAAGTTGAAATCTGTAACACTCTACCAAAAGTTTGCGGGTACAATTGAAATCGCAAAATTCAGAAACAGCAGAGTGGCAAGCAACCTCGTACTGAAAAACGGAAACACTACACCAGCGTCTGCAGCAATCATTGCGATTTAATTTGTTGAACCAGGACGATGCCGTCCATCGGCTTCTCATTGCAATTACCTTGTACCAAGAAGATGCCCAAATATCAATTTCAGATTGAACAAAGAAAAAAAAGTACACAGATTCATGCAAAAAAATAAAAAAAAATTGTATAATTTTGACCCAACCCTGTGGAAGGATGATATGCTAACTGTGACACAAATCTCACCTGCTACACTCATCCTTTTTCTCCAACACGACATGAATTAAATACTAAGCTCAACTTTTTTCTTTTTTTAAATTGAACCAACTTTCAGAGATTTTAATTCTGAAAAACAAACAACTCTAAAATTACAACAAAAGGGTTCTTTAGTTTTCCCTGTGAGCAATGTAATTAGCCAGAGCAATTAAAGGCGCAGCCTTTTCAAGATCGAAACCAGAGAGCTGTTCCTTGGCGTCTTTAATGAGCTTCTCAGCAAACTCCCTAGATTTCTCAATCCCCAATAGCTTGGGGTACGTGACCTTATCAGCCACCAAGTCCTTCCCTGCCGTTTTGCCCAATTCCTGTGAAGACTTGGTCACATCAAGAATGTCGTCGACGACCTGAAACAGCAACCCAATGTACCTCGCAAAAGTCCGGAGCTTTTCGGTTTCTGAATCCGACCCGCCTCCCAAAATGGAGCCCAGAACCACCGCACACTCGAGCAAAGCTGCGGTTTTGTGGAGGTGGATATATTCGAGCTGCTCCAGCCCCACATCGGCCAAGCCCTCTGAGTTTATGTCCACCACTTGACCCGCCACGAGCCCTTCAGCCCCGATTGACTTCGCCAGTTCCTCAACTGCTCTGATGATTCTCTCAGGCGAGACGCCGACTGTGCTCACGGCGATGTGCTCGAAAGCGAAGGCCAAGAGGGCGTCGCCGGCCAAAACGGCGACGTCCTCCCCGAAGACCTTGTGGTTTGTGGGTTTTCCGCGGCGGAGGTCGTCGTTGTCCATACAAGGCAAGTCGTCGTGGATCAACGACATGGTGTGGATCATCTCGACGGCGCACGCCGCCGGCATGGCCTGCGAATGGGACCCGCCGACGAGCTCGCAGGCGGCGAGGCAGAGGACAGGCCGGACTCGCTTGCCTCCGGCCAACAGAGAGTAGCGCATGGCCTCGTGGATCATGGCCGGGTCTCGGATCGGAACGGCGGCGTCTAAGGCTTGGTTGACCGAGTCGGCAGTTTGGAGCATGTAGGACTTGAAATTAAAACTGGGTTTTGCTGATTCTTCTTCTTTGAGGGTCTGTTGCTTGGTGAGAATTGCAGAGACGGAGAAAGGGGTGGTGGACCGACGTCGTTTTGGGGGTGCAAATGAAACGGGCATGTTGGTCTTCAGTGGGTGGACGAGGCTGAAAGGTTGGGATCTGGATCTGCCTGCTTGGTTGAACATTGAGCAGGTTTGGATTTGAACCCATGTGCTCAGATTCAAGCAGCTCATCTTTCTGGAATTTTATTTTTTTTTGGGTT